TTTTTGGGGTTTATATTTAGACTCCTATAAGGTAAGTCCCCAAATGGAACTACTATGGGGCCTATGGGTACTTCGAAGATCTCTCTTCTGATTCTCCACGGCCCCCTTATTCTCTCTCGCCTGCTTCGTGCACTTGAAGGACGTGGGTGTGAAGGATCCTCAGAACAGCGCTGTCTCTGAGGCTTGGGAGTCGGGACAGCGGCACTAGAAGGGTTGCTCTAGGGATTCTTGGTCTTTACAGATGAATAAAAGGGTCTTATTAAGGAATCGGGGCATCTGTACTCTGCGGGCAGACATCCTTTTTTGCACGCTGACAGGCTTCGGGCTCGGGATTTTGAATGGATTCACGGTTTCAGGCTGGGTCCCTCGGCCCGATACCCAGGGCTGAGAGTCGTTAAGGATCAAGGTGTGAAATAGGGGAGTTTCCGAAACTAGAAGGTACCTTATTTTGGTTCGAAAACCCCCATATGGGTCGTAAGCTGCACAGACCATACGAACCTCAGTTCTCGGTACTTGCTGGTTGCTGCTGCGGATTTGGTCAAATGCAAACCCAGAACCCACCTCCAAGAACCTGACAGGGAATCCCGCCGTAAACCCTCAACCCCAAACCCCACTTGAAGGTTCGCAGCTCTCGGTAAGTATGGTCACACATACCTTAGTTAATTCGGGGATAAGTAGCTGCCGCTGTTGTTATCGTAAGTGGTACCCTAATTGCTAATGACTAAAACCTTTGATCCCTATGGTAGCAGTCCGAGGCCGTGAGACCCTTGTCCATACCCGTCGCAGACCCGCAGGGGTTCATGTAATACGCCACTCTGCTGAGCGACTCCGATCAGACATGAAACGGTTTAGGGTGTAGGGGTTTAGGGTTTAGGGTTTAGGGTTTGGGGTTTAGGGTTATTTCGAAGGACCCAGGCTTGGCAGGTATAAACTATAGTCCCAAGACGAACATAATCCTGCCAGGCTTTCGGAACTATTCGGAACTAGAAAGCCCTAATAAACCAGAAACTTCCTAAACCCAAAACCCGAAACCCCAAACTGCAAACTCAAAAACAGCCTAAACTCTAATCCGAAGAGCCAGGCTCCCTAAATCCTTGAACTCTCAACAGAGCTAGGCTTGGGAAGGGGGGGGGGTTAGGGATTCAGGTGGTTAGAGGGTTCAGATGCCTAACTTCTACTGATAGCCACAGCCCCAAAACCTGAAAATCTTGGCATGCTCCCTAAAGCTAAACGGCTCGTCCCTTCTAAGGCACCGGCCTGCGCTACTTTGGCTGGATGACCTCGGTATCTTCCATGGAGCCGCGATCGGAGACCCTAAACCCTAAACCCGTAAACCTTGAACCCCTAAACCCTAAACCCTAAACCCTAAACCAACCAACCAACCAACCCTAAACCCCTGAACCTTGAACC